GGGGTCTGAGTTCACACGGGGCTTGGTGTGGATGGGTGGCCACGATGCTGGGGGCCGCAGCTGCACCCACTGCTATACCCTGTCGCAGCCAAAGTAAACTAGGCCCCAACTTGGTGGCTCTAAGCCATGTGTGTGGTGTGTGGTGTGTGGTGTGTGTGCCACGGGGCGTAGGAGAAGCCCTCATGGCAAGCTGAGCCGGACCCTGCTCCACACGGATCTGATGGAGCCACCTTGGGGTGTCTGGCTGGTGGTGGGTGGTCTGCAGGGCCCTCCACGTCCCCCTATACCTGGACCCATCCAGCAGGCTCAGCTCGCTCCACGAGGGCCCTCCAGCTGGCTAGCCAAAGTTGTCCATGGCAGCTGGGCTCCCCTCCCCCAGAGCCCAAAGTAGAAGCGTCTATCCTCTTAAAGGCCAGGCCCAGAACTGGTACCGTGTCCCATATGCCACACCACCGGACAGCCATCCCAGAGCGCATGTAATTCCAGGGCAGGGGCGCCGGCCCTGCAGACTTCTCGGAGGAGGAAGCACTGGAAGACCTGGACCATTTCTGTCCTGGCACAGTGAGGCAAGCACTTCGTGGGTCAAGAGACAGAGAGAGCCAGGGACAGCAAGTGGTGGACCCAACATTCCGAGTAGACGTCTACACTGTCGGCCTGCCACGTAGCAGCAACGAAGAGGGGGTGGGACAGCGAGGGGCCAGCAAGGTGCTCGAGGCTGGAGCTACCGGGTCCCAGCTGGGGAGGCGGCCCTCACCCACTGGTGAGGTGAGCCGAGAAGAGTGGGACGGCTTGCACCGCGGGGCTGGCACAGCCATAACGTAAACTCTTCCTTGTCCTCATCGAGTTCATGACAAAGCCCCCGTGCACAGAGATAAAGGCCCCCGAGAACAGCTGGGCTCTGCAGAGATGACACCGGGGAGGGCTCTGCAGCAGGTCACTGTGCAGATGTGGCGTAGGGAAGGGCAGAGCATGCGTGCTGGGCCACCGACACCAGGAGACCACACACCGCCACCAGAGGGTGCCCGTTGGTCTCGGCTGGGTTTAGCACACAGGTATAGGAAGGGGCGTGGGCCTTTCGATCCCTCCACGTCCCTGCAGCCAAGAAAGCTCAGCTCTCACACCAAGGCTGCACCAGCTCCTTCCTACCTCAAGATCCCCAGGACATCCCCTGAAGTCCTTGGCACCAATGGCATGTGGCCATCTGTACCCAGCCCATGCAATGACTCCCCCAGGGCTCTAATACCTAGTCAGTAGCCCTCCCGAGAAAGCCTGGCCTTATCCTACACGAAGACACCTCCCCAGTATGTACCCAGAAACGTGGGCACTGTCCTCAGCACCCAGTCAGCCCACCCCGAATCAGGTTCGCGTGCCCTAGCCAGAGTTCTGAGCAGCTGGAATGCTCTTCTGCTGAGCTTCGGAGCGTTTCTCAGCACAGTCACATCGCAGCCCACTGGCGCTGCCACTGGCGGTCAACTCTCCTTGCCCTGGAGGGCCACGTGGTTATGAGCCCATTAACCCACCAGGAGGTTCAGACACACAGGAGTCCCCTTCTTCCCGAGGTTTTACTTTCTGCAACTTCATTTACTGATGGTCAACCAAAATATTAAACAGCAAATTCTGCAGTAAAGGCAAGTGGCTTGGCAACATGTCGCACTGTCTCACGCCAGCCAGCTCCAGCTTGCTCTGGACATGAATCACCTCCTCGTCCCTCAAATCCATGCAGTGGGCACTGTCCACCTATCAGGCGCCTTGTAGCCATCTGGCTCATTGGTAACAAAACCCAGCGGTACACAGGGCTCGGGACTACCTGCAGTTGCAGGGGTCCATGGGGGCTTGGAACACATCCTGTCTGGACAAGGTGGAATCGAAACGGGCCGCTGTTCCCACCATGGGCAGTCTGGTGTAAGACAGTGCTTCCTGCGACATGGCAGCAGCAGGCTTCCCCAGCACCCCACAGCCGGAGCCTCCCACTCGTGGGTCAAGAGACAGAGAGCCGACGATAGCGAGTGGTGGACCCGGTCTGACCCTGACATTCCAAGCAGACGTCTACACGCTGTCGGCCTGCCATGCAGAGGGAGGTCCTGGGTCATGTCTGAGGTCCCCTCATACATGCCAGGCACGCACATGTGTGCCCCGCTGGAGGAGCATGCCCCCCTTCTCTGACCCTTCCCTCTCTCCCTCCTGCTCTTGAAAAAAATAAATACACTGAAAAACAAGTCTAAACACGCCAATTAAAAGTCTACAATCATTAAAGCGGATACAAAGTAAGACCCGACCATATGCTGCCTATGAGCAATGCATTTTAAAAACGAAGCCACAGTGAGGATGCAAGGTGCAGAAGACATGAGAACTAGCAGCCACGTGCCATCGAGGGGCAGGGCTGGCTGGCCAAAAGCCGAGAAGGCAGCTTCAATGCCAGGGAGGAGGAGAAACGCACCCAGGGCATTTTCTGTGTACAGAAAGCCGGATCCCACGTGGCCGACCATGGTTGGAACCCCAGCTCCTATGACTTGAAACACCAGGCTCACGTGCATGTGTGCAAATCCCAGTAAGATAAAGAAATGGAAGAAAGGAGGCCTCAGCATGAACATGACCATGCCCCACTGCGGCAGGTGGGGAAGAGGGGTGTCTTTCTCTCCATTAGCACACAAGTCCTCTGGGAATTAAAAAAAAAAAAAAAGATGTATCTAAACACAGAACTTCAAAAATCATAAAGCCGAGAATGCAGAATTAAAAGAAGTAATAGAATTTGCGATCATAGCCAGAGACTGTAACACCTGTCCTAGACATGTTTAGATCAGACACCCCCAAAGATCTGAGCAAAGCCGGTGGGCGCCGTGACCTAATGGTCGTTTCTGGCATTGCTGCACCAACAACCGCAGACACACCCTGTAAGTGCACGTGGAATGATTGACAAGGCCCCACTCGCCGGGCCTCAGCACCAGCCTCAACAGCTCTCCAAAGCCTGAAATTACAGACTACATTTTCTGGCCATGACGCAGTTATGGTAGAAACCAAGAAGGGACTCCCAAGCAATTCAAAATTAAACAACACAATTGTGAACAAGCCACAAGTTAAAGATAAAAACCACAGCAAAAATTAGCAGGTATTAGGAACAAAAACAGAACATATTGAAATTGGTAAGACACAGCCAAAGCAGCATCTAGAGGGAAAGTCTTAGTGGGGTATTAGGGGCCAAGGCAGTGTGGGGACTGAGAGCCTCAGCCAGCCCCAGTTTAGAAGTACTAATGGTTACTGACAATAGGGGCTTCTCATAGCTGGCTCCACGTTCTCGTCTGTGAAACCCCACTCAGCTGGGGTTACCAATTCTGAGTCCCTTCCACCCTGTGTTAGGAGCTTGGGCCTGGGTTTGGCCTCTGCTGTCCCCCCCAGCACCCTACCCGGTGTTAAGTCCCATCCATTAGGTGGGAGTCCTAGAGGCCACCAGACCCAGCAAAGGTACTCACACTTCTCCAGCTGGTCCCCGATCACCCTGAGGAAGGCCACGGAGATCATGAGCAGACTGGTGACAAAGCAGGCCTCGCAGAGCTTCCCGAGGCTGGGGCCACACAGCCCCCTGACCACGCCCTGGTAGGTGACCTGGCCGCTGACAGAGGCTGCATAGCCCAGGACGACCAGCCCGCTGATCAGGAAGACCAAGGAGACCTGCAGGGTAGGACATGGAGTTGGGGCACCCCCACCAACACCCAAGTCCCCCAGCCGGCAGTTGTCCATGGCCTGGGGGCCTCCACGTCCTTCCCCTGCCCTCAAACCGGAGCTATAGAGCAGGGACAGCCTGACGGCCTCTCTGGCCTGAGTCTGTGAACCTGGGGTTCTAATACCACTCTGCCCCTTGGGACAGAAGGGCATCAGAAACCCAGAGTCCAAAGCGGCCTCCTAAAATCGCCTGGGCTGTGGGTGGAGGCCGTGGATGTGGGGGTTAGGGACCCACAGTGGAGCAGGCATGCCGGGGTTCAACTTTATCTCTGCCCTTCACCTACAGTGCGGTGTGAGGCTCCCCAACTGTTTCTCTGTCTGCGAGGCGGGGTGGCGCTGCCCCCTTACGGGGCGTTCACATCAGGCAAAAGGCAGCAGTTGGCACGCCTGGTGCGGAGGCCAGCTGGACAGCAGCGCTTGAGTGGCAGCGGCCGTTCCCCCTGCCCCTCCCCCCGCATGGCTCACGTGTTTTCCCAAACATGTGGACATGCCTGCATGTGCCAGCTTGCAGTCTCCAGGACGAGGTCGCTGCCCTCACCTTGTCCCAGTGGTACCCGCCTCCCCAGGCCCCCTCTGCACCTCTCGCCTTAATTCTCGGGTTCCTTGGACAGCGCGTTTCCCAGACAGCCTGGCAGCACCCTCGTTAATCCCAGCGGCTGCTCGTGCAAGGGCCGTGAGGAAACGCACAGAGTCTTAGCGTCTCCGTGGAAGGGGCCCACGACAGACACGGGCACCCACGCCCTGTCAACACATAACACATCTCCAGACCCTGGGCAGTCCCCACCCCATCCCGGCCAACTCCTGCTTCGTTCCCATTCCCGCAGGAACAGACCACTGATCAAAACCCCCACGGTCGTTCCTGGCTCCTGCACATGGCACGCTGCTTGGTAGGGTCACCCACTTTGTACGCATCGTCGTTCCTGCCTGTCTTTGCTGTGTGATATTCCACTGTAGGAACAGATCACAATTTGTTTATCACACACTGATGCCCGGCACCTGTCAATGGAAATGTCATTAAATGAAAAAGGACGTGTGCCCGTGGGATTCAAGACCGTGAGATGAGGGCTAGCTGGTGGCACATGGTTAGGTGCTGGATTCCCAAATGGCCAACTGCATGGTTTGAGTCCCAGACCTGGCAGCTTCAAAACCACACCAGGCACATGTGCGTGCATGCACAAAATCCCGAGAGGAGAGTGGAGGAGGAGTGAGGCGTGGCCGCCCCTCCAGGGGGTGCTTTCTCACTTTCCCTCTATCCCCCTCCCTGTTTCTCCACGGGCCCTATAGCAAATTTAAAAAAGAAAAGAATGAAAATAACTCAAGGTGAGGTCATGAGGACCAGCCAGGTGGCCCTAAGCCCACAGACAAGTGTCCTTACAGCAGCAGAAGAGGAAACGCCGTGGGGAGCAGGAGGCAGAGTGGGGTGCTGTGACCACAAGCAAGAGCCCGTGTTGCCACTGGGCGGTGGGGGAGCCTGGGGGAGCTCTGCTGGCCCGAGCCCTGCCTTTGGCCTTTGGAGCTGAGACACAAGCACCACTGTTGTTGTGGCCCGCTTTGTGGCTGCCGCACCCGTTGGGAGCCCTCCTGCGCATCTCGCCCACACTCTACGCTACTGAGCACTGGGCTGGCCTATTTTCACACACTACGGAGCCCCAGAGAAGGGCGCACGTCGGGGGCCCTCGGTGGTTGAGAGGAAGGGGCAGGGGGTGGTCAGGAGGGGGCATTAGCCAAGCACGGCCATGGGACTGGGTGACCGCGACAGGGACAGAGCCTCAGGGCAGCAAAACAACAAAGAGCCCTGGCCTGTTGCAGACCTGGAGGACCCACGTGACACCAATGTCAGGAGACCTCCAACCCCACTGCAGGCGTCAGAGACCCCTGTTCTCTGCCCACTGACCCGGCAGGGCCATGTCGGAGTGCCTTAGAGAGGGACACGGGCTGAAGTCCGGCCAACTACAAGGAGGGAGGCTCCCCAAACCTGCCGTCTCCATGGGCCACCTCCCACCCCCTTCTTCCTGGCAGCTCTAGGAGAGAGCCAGCAGCTCAGGGGTGAGGGGGTATCAGAGACCAGCTGGCCTTGTTGAGGGGGTGGCATTTACTCAGGTGGGGGGCCCTTGTCCCTCTCCTCACGTCTGCCAAAGGCAGAGTCTAGACCCTCCCGCACAGGCAGCCATGGAGCTCAGGAGCGGGTCAGAAACATCCGGTCTCGGCCCACCCCAAGCCTGGTCAGCGTCTGCACTTTGGCAAGGAGCTCGGAATTGGGGGACAGACACCCACATCTCTCTGCCTCACCACACCCCTGCTGTTCTTGGAGCAGCTCCCACCTGACCCCTCCGGGGCTCAAGGCCAAGCTTCTGCCCTGACCCTGGAGCGGCCTTCCCGGAGCCCTCCCCACACGGTATGCACTTCTCACAGTACCTCAGGTCCCTCCCATCCCTCCCATCCTGCCGGGCTCAGCTCCTCAGAGGGGCCTGCTGACTGCCCTGTGTCCTGAGTCCCGTCTCCATCCAGTCTCCCGTCACGGGGAGGACCACACCAACTTAGTCCTTAAACACCAGCACAGAGCCAGGCCTCGGCCAGCCCCAGGTGGGTAGCATGTGTCACACCGAACACCACAGGGGGCGGGGACTGGCAGCCCCCAGAGGCCATGATGGCCCTGTGGCCCACCAAGGGAGGACGCTTAGAAGCCAGCCATTATCGGCTGGATGCTCCCGAGGGGGATTGGCATCAAGCCCAG